CCAGATAGCAATGAATGGTTTATCAGCGTGACCACAGAGGGCCCGATGGTCTCAAAAACTTTACAAAATAGATGAGTAGGTAAGACATCAGCTAAACTCGTTGAAGGATTCAATTGAGTCAGTGTTTCCAATAAATCCTCTAAAGAAACTGGGAGGAAAGATTCCATAATTATGGAGTGTGGACGATCATAGTTGGTGGGGTTACCTGAGGGAGTTATGTTACCTCTTAGGCAACTAATCTTATCTTGAAAAAATTTTAAAAATTCATTACAGTCTTTATCTGAAAAGACAGGTATACATGGCGTTGGGGGGGAGACGATGCTACTCACTGTATCAAAGACAACTTTCGGATTTCTTTTTCCTACTGCAAGTAGTTGAGAGAAGTAAGTGGCTCTTGAGTCTGTCACCATGTCATTAAAGGTAGATAATAGTTCTTTTAAATGGAGCTCGTGAACCTCGAGTTTTGTGATTTTTCCACAGGCGCTCGGTTTTTCGGCATATTCGCCTAAAGCTGCGGATAGCTTCTGTAAACCAGGGCGGGCATTTAACAGTACTGCCTTTCCTGATTTTAAGAGGAGCCACTTTATCTAGAATTTTTTGACATTGTGAATTGAAGGAGGCCATCTGCTGATCTATATCATCTGTTTCAGATAAATTGTTATCAAACAATTCCATAAATTCTTCTACCGCTGAGTCGTTAATTAATCGTGAACGCTTCTCATAAACAGAGGGTAGAGTGTCATAAGTAAAAGAAAGGTCAAATAAAAGGTATTTATGATCACTAATAAAAATGTCTCTGCAATGGACTGGGCCAATATCCAAACCCAGTGATAATATCAGGTCCAGGGTGTGGCCACCACTGTGTGTTGGCCCAGTCACATGTTGGACAAGGTTAAAAGAGTCTAAGAGAGTAAGAAAATCCGAAGCAGCGTGACATGAACTGTCATCAACATGAAAATTAAAATCCCCCAGCAGAAGAATTTTTTCCAGCTTAATGGTGGAGGATAGAAAATCCCCAAACTCCACTAAGAAACTCCTAGCTAGTCCTGGTGGCCTATAGATTAAAATCACATAGAAGGGGTGAGTCCTATTGATCTTCATCATCTGGATTTCAAAGGAGTTAAAGGAGGGGGTCTTTACCAGCCGACAGAAAAAGGAGTTTCTAGAAATAACTGCCAACCCACCACCACGTCCTGAGAGACGCGGTGTGGTTAAGCACTTACAGTCTGCTGGACACAGTTCATTAAAATGGACAAATTCCATATTCTGCTGCCAGGTTTCAGTTAGGAACATAAAGTCCAAATTATTCCTAATGAAAAGGTCGTTGAGAACAAATGCCTTATTTGAGATCGAGCGGCAATTTAATAGAGCCATGTTAATCGGCGGTGCTGGAGCATCACTGCTTACACCCTGAGGGGCTTGATGCAGGTTCGCACTGCATACTCCTCGGGGCTTTTTACCGTTTAGTATAATCCGTGGGACAATAGGACGGTCACTCACATGGTCTGGGAAGACTGTTCTCAGACACGGCGTCCTGATGAAGCCCAAGTGGGGAAGCTGTGTATTTAGCTGGAGGTCCGCCTTAGCAAAAACATCCAATGTTGAGAGCTCCAAGCAGGACGTTAAATCAGCGGTACTCTTATATTTCCGTAATCTCACTTGGATGCCCGCTCTCCTTCCTCGTCTTCTCTGACGGTGATTTGTCCGGGAATGGCGGCTCCGGTTTTTCCCTGGCCCGGGCAAGCAAGGGACGTAATGGGCAACAGCTGATCGCCCGGAGGGTGGAGAGAAGCCTCGAAAATATTTCCAGGTTTCATCCATAGATTCCATAGTTGATTTAATCCGAAGTAAAGTGTGGCGATCGTAAACATAGGTAGCTGTAATCTTATCCACAGACAGCAGCAAAATCGGTAATGCAACATAAAACAGGAGAACACAGAGTTTGACAGCGGCATTGCCGATCACAGGCGCCATCTTGTCAAAAGAGTAGCATGATCAGGGCGCTGACCTCCTCCCTGTAAGCTGTCTCATCACTGTTGGTGATAAGACCCACCACTGTAGTGTCGTCCGCAAACTTCACAATGATGTTGGAGTTGTTAGTGGCCGTGCAGTCGTAGGTGTAGAGTGAGTACAGGAGAGGGCTCAGTACACACCCCTGTGGAGCACCAGTGTTCAGTGTGACGGGGGATGAGGTGATGCTGCCCAGTCTGACCACTTGGCGTCTGTCAGACAGGAAGCTAAGGATCCAGCTGCAGAGGGAGCTGCTCAGTCCTAGATCCTGCAGTTTCCTATCCAGCTTCGAGGGAACGATGGTATTGAATGCTGAGCTGTAATCTACAAACAGCATTCTCACATACGTGTCTCTCTTCTCCAGGTGTGACAGGGCAGTATGTAGTGTCAGGGCTATGGCATCATCAGTGGACCTGTTGTGGCGGTATGCGAACTGTAGAGGGTCCAGTGAGTCGGGTAGTGCAGAGCAGATGAAGTCCCTGACCAGCTTCTCGAAGCATTTGCTTACGATGGGGGTCAGGGCTACAGGTCGCCAGTCGTTCAATGAGGAGATGGTGGAGGATTTGGGTACAGGGACGATGGTGGCCATTTTGAAGCAGGCTGGGACTACAGACAGAGAGAGGGAAAGGTTGAAGATGTGCGTGAACACTCCAGCCAGCTGAGCCGCGCATGACTTGAGGACGCGGCCGGGAATCCCGTCCGGACCAGTAGCTTTGCGTGCGTTCACCTTCCTGAAGCACCTCCGCACATCCTCCTCAGACACAGTGTGCGCACTGACGTCATCCACGGTGCGCACACTGTCCGGTCTCATGGTGTTCGCTGTGTCGAATCTAGCGTAGAATACGTTTAGATCCTCACACAGAGAGGCCGTGGTCTGCGGTGTGCTGGTTTTCCCTCTAAAGTCTGTGATCGTGTTTAGTCCCTGCCACCATACTCCGAGGGTTGTCAAACTGTTGCTCCACCCTGTCCCTGTACTCACGTTTGGCTGCTTTGATTGTCTTCCGGAGTTGGTAATGTGCGTGTTTGTAGTCCGATGTACTCTGAAAGTTTTGCAACTTTCAGAGCCAAATAGGTCAAAACTGTCTTCTAGTTCCAGAATCTACATTCCCAATTAAGCACATCCCAAAGTGCATGCTAACTTGGGTTGCATTTTTGCAGTATTGGTTGATTACTCCATAACTGTAACTTATCATTACATCATTGCTTTAGTTTTATATTTTTCGTGGAATATGTTACCAGTTTTATCAGTTGATAATGAAGTGCAGTCTGAGTGGAAAACACTCAACACATTTTAAATCTCACCATCTCTCATCCGCAAAACAAAATCATGATGTGGGAGACCAGGAAGTATTGGCTATCAAGCTCACTTCGGAGGAATGGAGGCACTGGCTGGAGAGCATGGCTCAACCATTTATTGTTTGGACAGACCACAAAAATCTGGCATATCTGCAATCAGCTAAACATCTAAATACTTGACAGAGACGCCCGTGAATATGTTATAGCCTGTTCGACCTGCGCTTGGAATAAGCACTGGAACCAACCACCTGCTGGTCGATTACAACCACTGCCTACTGCTCTCCAATGTGTTGCAACATCCAATCAATCTATCTGAAGCTAGCAGCTACCTTGGGTGGAGTACACAATAGCCTGACATCTCGGTGTGGTGGGGCATTGTCTGCTGGGCTGTGCGGACGCACCTGCAGGGCATCCGCAATCACGCCCGACGTGTTAAAACATGGCGACTCAAGGGTTGGTTTGTGTTGTGGCGAGAAGTGCTGAATAAAGATGGCTAAAATTCAAGATCTGTGGTCCCACCATGCCTTATTCTCACCACACTGGTGCCGAAACCCAGGACGCGGCACAACAGAGCCAGGGCAGGGAGGGGCTGTCCCAGATGATGGCTGACTTGGCGGCTATCCAGCAGGAGCAGGTGGCAGAGGTACGCGTTAGGCACCTTAGCAGCCGGAGGTGGTAGACGAGGCAGGCAATAGTCCGCGCCGGCCGGAGGAGAGTAAGCGGCTGGGTGAAGGGCTGCTACTGCCAGGAGCAGTGGAGGAGCTGCTCCAGCCGAATGCGGCAGACAAGGCACGCGAGGTGTCTACACCTACTGGAGGTAGAGGAGCCACTGCGGGAAGGGCTGCTCCAGCCGGGAGTGGTGGAGGAGGCCCTCAAGGCGGAAGTGTACGAGGTGCGAGGGGGTCCATGCCTGCTGGGTGAGGAGCCGCTGCATGAGGGGTTGCTCCAGCCGGGAGTGGTAGAGGAGCCGCTGCAGCCAGAGAGGAATCAGGTGCACGAGGGTCCTGTCCAGCCGGGAGCAGTGGAGCAGCTGCTCCAGCCGGAGACAATGGAGGAGCCACGCAGGGAGACAGAGGTCCCCGTGTAAGGGGGACCTGCACGAACTGGGGCCAAGAGCAAGACGCAAGCTGTCCTGGAACAATGGACGAGTGTCCAACCGCCTTTGAGCAGGTGCTCACGGCTGTGCCTGCAGGGTCGTGCCGGTTCGCCAGGGACCAGTGTCGCTGCTGGAGGCGTGGGCGGCCTCCGCAAGAGACACTGCCCTGTCATCAGGTTGGAGGCCGGTGGGCGGGAGTAGGTTCGGCCAGATGGCTCCCCGGCCTCAATCGGGCGATGGGTTGTATGTGGTGGGGGTATGTGGTGGGGTGTGGTCTGCGGTGCCGTGCGGACGCACCTGCAGGACATCCGCAATCACGCCCGCCGTGTTAAAACACAGGACTCAGGGGTTGATGTGTGTTGAGGTGAGAAGTGCTGAATAAAGATGGCTCAAATTCAAGATGGTCCCGCTGTGCCTTATTCTCGCCACACTCGGCTACTGCTCTGACTCTGTTTATTTGTGCTTACCCCTTGAGGTGTACCACAGCTCATCAATGTGTTGGATTTGCCAGCTCTGCATATCAGCCCCCACACGTCTGAACTGGCGTCCGACAGCTGGACGCACATGTGGACGCCACCGGTGAAATCCATCACAGCCTCTGAAGGAGTTCCAGAAGTCATGTCGGTGTAGGAACCACAAACCCTGACAGAGGTAGATAATATTTTTCACAGATCCCCCACATGTAACTTGTTCACTGTATATCGGATAAATCATATGTTTCTTTGCATACTTGGCATAAGCTTTCTCCAGCAGAGCAGGCCAGAACTCATTTGGATCTTTGGAGTGAACAAAGATTAGTCTGCCATTGATCGTCGGCAACTTGTCATCAATGACGACGTCCACCCACCGCCCGAATCTCCAGAACTAAAGTAAAGATACAATTGTTTTGTGAGCTTGTTGTGTTTCATGAAATTTGATCATTAGAGACAAAATAATCCAAACTCTGTGAAATAAACAGCTTTTAAATTTTCGTTTAGTGGGGGAAAAAAACAGTTAAAGATAATAATTACTTCTCTATACTGATAGTTTAATGATGTTTACCCTGAAGTGAAAAATGCCACAGTAGTTCTCTTTGATTTTTTGGTCGAGCGGAACAACTTGTTCAAAAATGTGATTCTGGAAAGTCAGTGCGCCGATTGATGCAAGAAACCAGCAGTTTCCTGTTTAACAACAACAAAAAAAGAACAATCAGGACTGTAGGCAGATACAAGAGTGTAAATATTAGGAGTGAAGAAATGACCCTACCAAGTACACCTTGACCAAAGTCAAATCTGGAGACGCCATCAACCACAAATTCAGCATCAGGAGCAATTTGCTGTAAAACAGGGAGTATGCCCCAAATTTGAGAGGTTTGGGTCTCAGTTTGAAATATGAAACTCTTCCAGGGCCCTTAATTCACAACTTTTTTATATAACAGAAAATGAAATAAACTGAATAATTATCCTGAAAAGAAGCTCATGATCAAAAGTCAGTCAGAAAAAGAAAGAATAATCATAATTTTGTAAACTTGTGGCTTTGATTCTTTTCAGAATGTGAATATTTCATGTTATTTTTAAACTAGATTACAAACTAACTAATCAGGTTGTTTAGGATAACAGAATGCATTTTTAATAGAATATCTTTTATTTAATCCTTAAGGATTGATTTAATTCTTTTTCACAGCCACTAGAGGGCACTGTTATAGTCAAAATTTCACTTCTTGAGTCATGAGAAGATTTATAGTTTCACAATCTCAAATATGGTAGGGCAAAGGTGGGAAAAATTTTTGCTTTGCAGTAATGTGATACTGCGTCTAATGTGCAGTTTAAACATCTTTAAATACTCACCGCAGGTCTTAGCCACTTCACGTGGGCCAGGTCGGAGGGCATCAGTATCCCCTGGCCAACAGACTTTGCATCAGGGGGGAACATGTCATCGAGGTACCTTACTCCTTTGGTTAGACAGTACTGTTTCAGGTTCTTGAAGTCTTGGTTAAAGAACTTCTCAGGGTTGGAGATGCTCCCATATCCCATCTGCTTGTGACGAGCCTCCATAATGTTCAGGCATGCACCAGGAGGAGGCATTGCTGCAGTGTTTGTCTCTGTTTTCAAGAAGTTGGCATGTAAATTTGACAGATTAGTATAATAAATGACACAGTACAAAAAAAACATGTCAGCTCAAATTATAATATATTAATATATATAAATAATGCAAACATTGTTTAGGTTATTTTCTTTCAAAAGAAAAAGAAAATAACTGCAACAAAAAAAGTATCAATGAAATGCCCATATAGTAAGAATATTTAAGAACTATTACTATGAAACTAATAAAAACAAAACAAAACCTAACACTAAAAATAAACAGAAAAAGAAAAACTATAATAACTTTGATTTGAGTCTTTAGTCCTTAAATTGTTAAACAAACATTTTACCTGAACGAGTCACGAAAGAGGAAGCATGTTGTTTAGTAGATACGGAGCAGGTCTGCAGGTAAGAGTGGACAGGCTTCAGTCTTAATGCCCACAATCCCCTAAATCAGCCAGGACAGGTTGTGGCTCCTCCTTACCTTACTATGCAAATTTCACTTAAACTCCACCACTTTCCTTGGAATTACCCTTGAACCTGCAGGGTTAGTTTTATAGGTGTTTACACACAAGTGTTACGTTTGTAGTCCAAGCGAGTGAAAAAACGCAACACAAGGGTTAGCCCCCCCCACTCCCCACCCAAGTAAGTACACCGACAACAATACCGTTCAAGTGGTAAGCAGCCGTTTATTTTCGTCGGCAGTGAGCAATGCCAAAACAACAAACAAAACTCCCTAGCGATCCCTACGCTTCCCTACACCAAAATAAAAAGAAGCCAAACAAAAGACAAGTCGCTTACCTACCTTTCTAAGGGAAAAAACAGGAGAAAACGTGTTAAAAAAAAAAAACGGCTTCTCACGCCTACAAGGCTGCGGCAGTGACAGTGATATATCAGGTGAACCAACCCGTGATCACTATTTGACAATCTATTTACAATTATTTACAACATAATAGCCATCCCACCCAGATATACTATTTACACTATTTACAACCAAGTAGACATCCCAACCAGATATACACTCAAAACTCTACACTGCACTAACATAGATCATCACACAGGTTCTTGGTCGAGTGGTGGAGGCTCGGGGAGAGCTTCCAGGTGGCTGTCGTTAAGTCCTTAAGTACCGGAGGTGGTCCATCAATTATCCACACAGGATCCACACAGGACAGGCAGAGACTCCACCCGGATACCCAGCAGCCACGCCCAGGTTTCCACCTCCTAGGAGAGAAAAAGGGGAAAGATACCCACAGCCATCCCCCCCGTGGGAGGCATAACACAACACACACATCACTGGGTCGTAACACAAGTCATGTTAGTCCCTTTCACTTCTGAATGTACAGGTGCAATGTTCTGTATACAGCTTTCTGTTTTTTATTAAAACATCACATGAATGAAAATAATCAGAAGGCAGAGCCAAACATTTTCAGCTCTCATGACCGTTACAGTGAGTGAATAATCCTTGATACTGAAAAGCAAGCAAGAGGAAAGAATAACCCAAAAGTTTTCTTGACTTCAGTGCAAATATGTAACTCTGTTGTTGTATGTTGTCTGCTAAATATAAAATGTTTTAGATATTTGAACAACCTTGAGTAAGTCTGATTACACTTACAGGACTGCCATGGTACCGGTAGTTGGCATTTATTTTGATAATGATAAGTAAAATATTTACTCACATAAAAACTGACTTCATCGGTTAACTGAAAAGGTAATTTGCTTGTGTACATGTGCAGTAAAAGATAGTGATGTTACTTGCTTAACAAAGCTTTACTACCATATTTTTTGCACTATAAAGCCCACTTCAAGTCCTTTAATCTTCTCAAAAATCAGTAATTGGGTTGATGCATTCTCAATCATCCAGAAAAGTAAATCTCCAAAAGTTGATTCTGTTCATCTGGACGTAGCGTTTTGTGGGAGAAACGTTTTGTCACTCATCCAAGTGACTTCTTCAGTCTTAGCTGACTGCAGGAGCAATTGAAGGAACAATGAAGGAACATTGAAAAATCAGTAATGCACCTGTATGAATTCAGGTTGTGCTTGCTGACCTCGAATCGATTTTATGTGGTATACGCGTTGCTGCTTTACCAGGTAACAATTAAGTTTAACATCCAGGCATCCATGAAAACCGAATGCATTAAATTTAATGCAGTTAAAACTTAGCGGGAAGTTAGCTCGCTAGTTTCCACCTACAAGACATCATAAACCACAGAGGCTGCGCTGTGTGCAGCTGGCAGAGGAAATAAACTGTCATGGTTCTGGGTCAATTTTGACCCAGCTTTTTCTTTTTCTGTTTTGTTTTGCTAAATATATGAATTATTTGGGTTTTTGAGTTGTGCTTGGTTGATTTTGTATTAAGGGTTATTCTTGGTTTTGTTCTCTTTACTTTATTTGGTGTTCTGGCCATTAGTTTAAGTCACTGTCTTCTCTGTTTCATGTGTCATATTCTTTCTGTCTATCTCTCTGTGTCAAGTTTGCGTTTTCGTGATTGAAACCAAAGAGGTCATTGTTGATTTCAGGAGGCACAGCACTTAGTCCTCCTCAGCATCAACAGGGAGTGTTTGGAGAGGGTCCACCTTTCGGTTCCTTGATAACACAGTTCCACCCCGCACTCCAAGGACTTCCCACTATTAACCACCACTATGTAATACTTATTTTTACATGCAATAACCAAAACTGTAAACACACAACATTATTTATTTGCATATTTATTTCCTTTTTTCTTTTTTTTCCTGGATTTGTATATCTGTACATTTCATATACACAGTATCTCACAAAAGTGAGTGCAACCCCCTACAATTTTTTGTAAATATTTTGTTATGTTTTCATGGGACAAAACTGAAGATATCACACTTTGGTACAATGTATTAAAGTATACAGCTTCTATAACTGTGTAAATTTGCTGTCCCGTTTAAATAACGCACACAGCCATTATTGCTTAAACCTCTGGCAACAAAAGTGAGCACACCCCTAAGTGAAAATGTCCAAATTGTGCCCAATTAGCTATTTTCCTTTCCTGGCGTAATGTGACTCATGAGTGTTACAAGGTTCCAGGTGCAAATGGGAAATAGGTGTGTTGAATTTGCTACCACACTCTCTCATACTGGTCACTGGAAGTTTAACATGGCACACCATAGCAAAATCATGGGAAAAAAGAATTGTTACTTTACATAAAGATGGCTTAGGCAGTAAGAATCTTGCCAACACCCTGAAACCGAGCTGCAGCACGGAGACCAGTAGTGAGTGTTTTGAAAGTAGAGCTGATGGTTCACCTAAAATGTGAATATTAGGTGAAGTATATATCCTAATATTGTAAAATGTTACTAAAATGTTGAGCAAATTTTTTAAAAGAGCAATTCAGTTTTAGTACTTTCACTGCATTTAGATTGAGTCTCACTACACGTAGAATTTCTTATTCCACGGTTCAAAAACAGCACAGTCAGGTTTCTGGTTTAGTTTGTCACAGCTGGAAACAGATATTTGATACACTGTTTCTAATACAAGCAATATCTTGTATTAGAAATACAAACAGATTTCAGGGATGTTTTTTAGTGTGGTTCAACCAAAACAGTCTTCAACATGCTATTGTGACTCTTATAACAATTGAAAGATTATTTCAGTGTGCATGAATATATGCACATTTTTGTGAAGGATACACTAACAAAGAAATTTGCATCCTTTCTTTTAAGACTTTCAGAGCTTTACTCTCTGATCAGCACTCTCCCTTTTTCAGGAAATTGTTTGTTTTCCAGCCTTTGTACTTGACGGAGTCTCCAGGTTTAATTTTGGTCAAGGAAACTTCATAGGTGAAATGTATTCGTGAATATATATGAATATATATTTATTGTTCTCCTCACATGATTTCCTCTAGTAACCATGAGAATATTTTTGAACAGGAAACTGCTGATGAGAATAACTGTGGGATTTTTCACTTCAGTGTAAATACCAACATCTAACAACACATCTGATTATAATTTTTTGACAGATATATTTTTATTGATCACTACTTGTGTTCAATAAAAACACACCTATCAAAAATACTCACCGATTTATTTATTTATTTATTTTTGAGATGTTGCTTTTTGTTTGTATTTTATCCACAGCAGAATGAACTAGCTAACAAGCATGTGCTACATGGTTTAAAATTCTTTTACTGCTTATATTTTATTTTAACACATTTTCATGTTAAAACTAAACTGTGTGTAATTGTAACCTCATAAATGACTGGTTTATGATACCAGAGGCCAGTAAGTCACAGT